GCTCTTTCAAGAACAGCTCTGACAAAACTATGGCTTGCCCAAGGTCATCCAGCAGCTGCACATGGAGGAGTGGGGAATCAAACACGGTTCTCCCAGATTAGAGTCCATGCACATAACCACTACACCAAACTGGCTCTCAAAGCACCCTACTGCAGCCCATAACGGTTCAGGTTTGAATCCCTGATTCCCTAAGGTTGCCAACCTCCAGGCGGGGCCTGGAAATCTCCCAGAATTGCAACCAATCTCTGGGCAACAGAGGCCAGTTCCCCTGGAGAAATGGCTGCTTTGGAGGCCGGACTCCATGGCATTATATACCAATAAGGTCCCTCCTCTCCCTAAACCCCGCCCTCCTCAGGCTCCATCCTATAAATTCCCCTCCCCGGTACGTCATTATCTTGCTATGTTTAGCCTAAGAATTTAGCCTAAGAATGTGATCAAGCCATTCACTGCCCTCTGGGACCAACTGAAGGTCAAATCACCTTGTAGATAACAGCATTAAGGAACTCTGCCCTGAGATTTTTCAATACTTGAATGGAAACAACCCCCTTGAGCTTTTCTGCTGCAGTAAAAATCCATTCATTATTTCTTCAGAGACTCCTTTCATGTTGCGAACATCATTAATGACAAGAAATTGGATTTGGAAAAGCAAACAAAGAAAAAAGTCTCTCTCTCCCCCCCCCCCACCCACCCCCTGCTTCCTCCTAGCAGGAGTACATAAAATACTCGCCTAAACATCAGCACAGAATGACACTGCATGGGTGGGGGGGGGCGGAGAAAGAGTGCAAATCTAGAAATAGATTCAATAACAGAATAAGTGGGTAATAAAAGTATAACAACAATGCACTCAAGATAAGGTTTGTTTTCATTTCTGTTATGCCACCCGCGGTCATATCTTACAATGGCTCCCAATTTATATGCTGTTCTTGCTCATTCAGAACAGAAAATGGGGAAAATAAAAAAAAGACATTGTACACAAAAAGCAACCAAATGTGTGAGCTGCTTATCTAGGAGGCTTCATTTCCATGCTTCACACATACACGCTGGAGTAAATCGAATTTAACCGAGGCCAAGAGAATTGTTGTGTTGTAAAGCTGAGTTAATAGGGGTGTCAGGGTTGCCGGGTTGCCACTAGGGGTATTCGTTTGGCTAAATCCGAGCTGGAAAAAAATCCTAAAAAATACCTTATCAGTTTTTTCCAGATATTGTTTCAGATGGATTTAGATTTGTTATTGTTCAGTTATCAGGATTTTCAGAGCCACCTGATAGTCAATCTTAAAGGGGATTTAAAGGGATTGCAGTCCCTTTAAATGCCTTCTCTAAGCCACGCAACTTCGTGGCACGTGAACTCCAAAGGCATTAAAAAGGTTCACAGTCCCTTTAAATGCCTTCCAGGTGAACTTGCCACCTGAGAAGGTTTTAAAGGGACTACGAGCCTTTTAAATACCTTCGGAGTTCACTCGCCGCAGAGTCACTCAGCTTAAAGAAGGCATTTAAACGGACTGCAATTCCTTTAAACACCTTCCCCCCCCTCCATTGAAAGCAATGGAGGATGGGGCACCTTCTTTGGGGGCCCATAGAATTCGACCCCCTGGTCCAATCTTTTTGAAACTTGGGGGGTGGGTGAGGAGAGGCACCAGCAGCTATGCTGCAGATCTGCTGCCTCTACCTCAAGAAACAGTCCACCCAGAGCCCCAGATCGATTCTCCTTTATACCCTATGGGGATCATTGACCCCACAGAGTATAATGGAGCCACAAAAAAAAATGGATTTCCAGAATATTTCCCGAATCCAAATACCATACTGGTACTGAGATTCAGGGATATCAGAAAATATCAATATTTTGGGGGTTCAATATACCTGAACCCAAAAATACGGAGGTGGGGGTAATTTTGCCATCTCAGATTCTGTTACATGGGAAAAGCAAATCCCAGAGCCCTCACCTATAAGGTAGTCTGCTATTGCCTCAATGGGGGTTTGCCATTGCCTGCCTCTACACAGCAACCTTTGACCTCCTTGGGAGTCTCCCCTCCAAATACTAACCAAGGCCAACCCTGCTTAGCTTCCTACCTTTTTTACTTGTCCTGCTCCTGTTTCTGACGCAAACAATTATCTGAGGAGCCTTTTTCGCGTCCTCCTGACAGCAGTTTTAAAGGCGGAGGATCTCCGTGTTGCCAGATTTGTCTTAAAGGATTATCCAGCTAGTTTAAATGTTCCCCACCAGTGGGTTGCCACCTCCTGAAAACTAGGAGTTTGTGGTTCTCTGCAGTGCAGCCCAGTTGGCTCATATGTTCTCCGGCAGCCACTCCACAAACTAATGCTTGTGTCGCTGGCACTCAAGCATTTTGACATCGTTCATTATGTTAGCTGGTTCTTGCTATGTTTGGATTGACCTGGTGGAATTCTGCTTCTCTTGCTATTGTGTAGGGTTGCCAAGTGGAACTTACCTTGGCGGCGGGGGACTCCCAGGTGGATCCTGGAGCAAGCGCGTGCGCCGCACACACATCACCAGGAAGTGACGATATGATGCCGGGCATGCTGGGGGCGGGGCCATGACCATACAAGGGGAAACCATAGAGTTTTCCCCTGTATGTCCGTGGCCCCACCCCCAGCGTGCCCGTCGTGCCCGCGTCACTTATGGGTGACGCGCACATCGGGGAGGAGTTCCCCCCGGGGCCCGACTTGGGATCCCTACTATTGTGTAACATCCCATATTATGACTGAGAAGTATAAGAACATAAGAACTGCCCTGCTGGACGATAGCAGCGGTCCAGCGGTCCATCTAGTCCAGGGTTCTTATTTATTTATTTAATTAATTATCATATTTATATCCTGCCCACCCAGCCAAGGCTGGCTCACCATGGTGGCCTGGCCAATCAGTTGCCCTGGAAGACCATATAGGATTGTGAGTTTCCAGGTGGTGGCTGGAGATCTCCCGATTTTACAACTGGTCTCCAGGTTTCAGAGGTCAGGTCCCCAGCAGAAAATGGCTGCTTTTGGAAGGCAGACTCTTCAGGGGCATCATAACAGACTAAGGTCCCTCCCCTCCCCAAACCCCGCCCTCCCCGGGCTCCATACCCCAAATCACCAGGAATTTTCCAACCCAGAGCTGGAAACCTAAGGTCCAAAAAACAAGGCATAGAGGCCAAGGCCTCTCTCCTAGTGTTGCCTCTGTACGTGTCTCTAAGTTACAACAATTACTACAGTCTCCTAGCACTGGTAATCAGAGTTTTACTACCTGTGATACAACTGACTTATGGCGACCCCCAGCAAGGGGCTATCAAAGCAGGTGAAAAGCAGAGGTGGTTTGCCATTGCCTTCCACTGCAGAGTCTCCCTAGGTAGTCTCCAATCCAAATACCAACCCCTGCTTTAGCTTCCAAAATCTGACAAGATTGGGTTATAGTATGCTGCCTTCCCTCCCGGTGACTATAAGATTCCCTTGATTCACCATGGCTAGTAGCCATCAATGGACCTCTCCTCCATGAATCTGTCTAGCCCCCCTTTCAAAGCCCTCTAAGCTAAGGGCCATCCTTACATCCACTGGCAGCAAATCCCACAATTTAATTGCTTGTTGAGTGGATAATGTAATTATTTTTATCAATCTCTACTGAAGAGTGCTTTGTAGTGCTTTTCTATAGTACGCCAGACATCAAAAGGCCTACTGACACTTTCTCGTGCTCTGAGCACCTGATTAGGTCAGAGGACACATGAGAGATTCGTACTATGCTCACTCCATGCCTTGCGCAGCTTAAGACATCCCATTTTCCCAAGATGGCGCTGTGGAAATCCCACCTTGCAAAGTGAAAAGAGCTTTCCAGGTAACAGGAAAACATTTAAGTTTTGAATCCCCTGAAAGAAGACTATAGCAATCATGTTTTCTCAAAGGTGATGTAGTTTTAATGGAATGGCGGACTCGATTGTAAAATACTTCTGCTGGAAAATATGCCAGCTGGGTTTAAAAAAAAAAAAAAGGAAAACAAATAACAGTATTATGAGATTCGTACTATGCTCACTCCATGCCTTGCGCAGCTTAAGACATCCCATTTTCCCAAGATGGCGCTGTGGAAATCCCACCTTGCAAAGTGAAAAGAGCTTTCCAGGTAACAGGAAAACATTTAAGTTTTGAATCCCCTGAAAGAAGACTATAGCAATCATGTTTTCTCAAAGGTGATGTAGTTTTAATGGAATGGCGGACTCGATTGTAAAATACTTCTGCTGGAAAATATGCCAGCTGGGTTTAAAAAAAAAAAAAAGGAAAACAAATCACAGTATTATTTACACTGCGGCTGAATTTTAGGAGTCAGCAGTTATTGCTGAGAATAATGAACCTGATAGGAACTGATAAAAATATTCATGAAGTGTTGTCTTGGTTAACAGCACACTAGTCTAAGTGCTGCTCTGCATTTCTAGGGGAAAAAATAAGTTTGAAAACCTAAAAAAGAAGGGAAATGATATTACTGTAGTACTATATTTCAGAAGAGAAGCTGGAACACAACTCATTTTTTTAAAAATGCACTAGCATTGGGAGTCTCTGTTTTCTCCAGGTTCTTAAACATAATGCCACACAATGGAAACTTTCTAATTAATTACCCAGGAATTTCCACAGTCAAATTTTCCCCACACCAGTTACAGGAACCAAAGGCTACATTTACATTTAAAGTTTGCTGGTGATATATTCCTTGAGCTGCTACTCCTGGGACCTGATTTAAATGCGATGCTGGCAGAGCAAAATCAGTCACTCACGGGACTCTGTGCTAGCCCAGAGTCTCACTCAAACTGGGTTGCTAAGCAAAGCATCCTAGAACTATATTTTGCATATTTCATTATTTTAAAAAAATACAAAGGATTGGATCTTGCTACGAGGCAGTGGAAGAGAAGCTTTACTTCACATGACTCAGTCCGTACAAAAGTTGCACAAGAGCTAATGTAAGTTTAAGAACAGAATTTTCATATGATCATGTCTGTTTTTTGATAAGGACTTTGCCCTCAAGCAACTGGCGAGGAGCTGTGACTCAGTGGTCGAGCATCTGCTTGGGATGCAGAAGGTCCCAGGTTCAATCCCTGGCATCTCCAGCTAAAACGCTGGACAGTGGATGATGTGAAAGACCTCTGCCTGAGTCCCTGGAGAGTCGATGCTAGTCTGAGTAGACAATACTGACCTGGGTGGACCAAAGGTCTGATTCAGTATAAGGCAATTTCATGTATTCATTAGTGTTGCTGTATACAAAAAATCAAAAGGCTATTTAATTATTACAGTCCAGTATGGAGGTGTAATATGATCTGAGCAAAGACATTCATTATTGGGCATGACGGGGTTTTTGCTGAAATATACCTTGCCCTATGTCTTGTTCAAGTGGAAACTCAAGACAGGTTACAGACCTGTTTACTTAGCACAAGAGCTACTTGGGATGACTGATCTGTTTCCACATGTTGAAGAGCTCTTGTACAAGTGGAAATATTCCATGGGATCCAATCCAAAGACCACTGTTCCTAGAGCTGGAACTCTCAAACTCAGAGGGAATTAACAAAAACAGACCACAAGAATAAAATTCCCAGTAAAAATATTAGCCACAACCCAATGCAATGTGTAATGCAGACAGACACTGAACTCAGAAGAGCACTTAACTCTGTAATGAACTGAAGGCATTATATAACAGAAATAATTATCCCATAACTATCAAACAGTAGCTGTTAAAAGCTCTCCCAAAATGGATCATAATAAGCTATCTTGTACTAAGACTTTTGAAAACCCAAGTATGGCTCTGGTCACACGGGCCGGAAAATGTAGGGGGAAGCGTGGCTGTTTGCCCCGGAGCAAAATAACGCGCGGCTGCGCGATCAGACGTCCCGTTTTGGTCCCATCGAGGTCCCATGGTTAGGGGGGAGGTGCCGATTACACAACAGGCAAAGAAGCGGGGTGGCACGGCAAATGGGGTTCTGTTTGCGCATGCTCCGTTGGGTGCTTGTGCGCATCCCATGGAGACTTGGGAGGGAAAAAAACCTTTTTGCGAGAGGACATGGGCGGGCGCTGGATGCCACGAACTACCACCGGAAACGCGATCAGACGCCCGCCCTTGCCCCGCGGTTTCCAGAAACTAGTACCTCGGAGGTACTAGTTTTTTACCCCGCATCTTCGGCGGGAAGCCTCAGGTTAGCCACGGGAGCTCTACACTTCCCAGATGTTGCGGTGTGATCGCGCCCGGAAAATCCGCCTATCTTCCCTCTCTGTAGCGTGGCTAATGCTCCGTGTGACCACAGCCTATATAATGTTTACCAGGTCTCTCTAATTTACTTGTTCACTTTCTCAAGGAACTCAAAAAGAGTGGTAAGGTAGGACGTTCCCTTTGTAGAAGCCATGTTGATTTTCCCCCAGCAGACTTTGTTCTATGCCTAATAATTCTATCTTTGATTACAGTTTCTACTAATTTGCCCGGGACAGACATTAGGCTGACTGGCCTGTAATGTCCTGGTTCCCCTCTGGACCCTTTTTTAAAATCAGCATTACATTTGCTACTCTCCAGTCTTCTGGTACAGTGACTGATTTTAGTGACAGGTTACATATATGGTTTAGTGGATCAGCTGTCTCACATTTGAGTTCCCTAAGAACTCTTGGGTGTATACCACCAGGACCTAGAGACTTCTCGGTTTTTAATTTCCCCAATAGGTCTAGAACTTCATCTCTCATCACCTCAATTTCACACTCCCTTCCCAAAAACAGTAGTTGTGGCATGGGAACATGCCCCACACTTTCCACAATGACAGGAGCAAAAGCATTATTGAGCTTCTCTGCCATCTCCCCATCTTTCTTTCGCAGTCCCTTTATTCCTTGGTCATCCAAAGGCTCAGCTGCTTCTCTAACTGGTTTCCTGCTCCAGATATATTTAAAGAAATGTTTATTGTTTGTCTTGATTCTTTTTAGCATGCCTAATTATTGATTCACATTTCTTTTGCCAGAGCCTGTGGCACCCTCTGTTCAGTTCATTGGGGCAGACCTTCCACTTTTTTAAAAGAAACCTCTTTATTTTTTATAGCTTCCTTGACTTGCATTGTTAACCATGAAGACATTCTTTTAGACTTGAGAGTGCCTTTCCTAAACTGTGGAATGCATTCTATCTGAGCTTCAATTAGTGTGGTTTTAAATGGCTTCTAAACATCCCCTATGGATTTGACTCTCATGTGTTTCCCTCTCAGCTTTCTTTTAACTATTCCCCTCATTTTTGTAAAGTTCCCTCTTTTGAAATCAAAAGTTACAGTGTTGGACTTTAGGGGTAATTTCCCATTGACCTGAATGCTGAACCTAACAGCATTGTGGTCAGTGTTTTCAATTGGTGCAACAACATCTACATCTTTCACCAGGTCTTGAGCCCTGCTCAGAACCAAGTTAAAGATCACTACCCTCTGATTGGCTCTGTGACCAACTGTTCCAGTGCACAGCAAGTTATAATGTCTAGGAATCTCATTTGTACAGAATGACTCAAGCACATCTTTACCAAGTCAATGTGAGGGTTGTTGAAGTCTTCCACTATCACAACTTTATCTGCTTTAGGCACCTTCCTTACTTTCTTCTCCATCTCAAGATCAGCCCCAAAGGTTTGATCAGGTGACTTACGTATAAGTAACGTACATTTCTGACATTGATGCACTTATAAGTAACCTTTAAGGCCCATCACTTCTACCCATATAGCCTCTGGTCATGGTCATGGCCAACCACTGCATCCCATGTAAATCTGGGGAAAGATCTGGCCCCAGACACTGGTCAACGTTAGGGTTGCCAGGTCTGGGTTGGAAAATACCTGAAGACTTTGGGGGTGGACCCGGGAGAGGGCAGGGTTTGGGGAGGGAGAGGCCTCAGCATGGTACAATGCCATACCCTTCAAAGTGGCCATTTTCTCCAGGGAAGCTGCTATCTGTCAGCTGGGGATCAGTTGTAAAAGCAGGAGATCCCCAGGCCCCACCTGGAGGCTGGCAACCCTAGTCAACGTTCCACTCAGTATGCACACTCAGCACTAGAAAGTTAAAATTTGCCCGAAGACACTGCTCCCGCTCAGGAAAATGCTCTCAACAAAAAAACAAAAAAAACCCCTCAATGGTGCATTTAACGACTCCTCTGGTATTTTGATTAGGCCATCATTTTCCATTAACTACAAATTAATGCATTTCACATCAATGTTAAGATTTTCTTTTTTAAGCCAGGAACTGTCACTGCTGATGAAACATAAAACATGTGTAAGGAGATACAGCTGTTGCCAAGCCATTTGGTACACACACAAAAATGAGCAGTTTTATTGACACAGAGTGAAAATGCAATAGCTACAACAATCCTTCCTCTGATGGATCCTGGTGGCGGATAATGCACAAGTATGAGCCCGGTCAGACATTACTGGATAAACACAAGTATTTTCCCTCTCTAGATGGACCCCATACTGGTTTGGTAATGTCTGTAGAGAAGTCCTACATGAGTCAGCAAAGGAAGAGGTTCCTTCTTTTGTTTGCATCAAAGACTTCAAGGAAAGCGGGCGTGGTGCTCATGCCATGCCTCTTTACAGATCTGACTCACTGGAGAGTTGCGGAGCTTTAGTCAAACAAAAGGCAGCTCCAACACAACTAACAATATATCAGGCCTCTGTTTTGTGTGGTGCCAACGGCCGGGCCCACTCACATGGTGGGATTTTAGGAGTTGTTCACAATATCAGCAGATTTCCATCGATTCCTTGGTTTCGGCTTTTAGCCTGTACAATCCAAGTGGCTCAAAGCAATTAAAGTTTCTAGTCTTCATGAAGCAATGGCAAAGCAAGGATCTGAATGGACACTATGCATTCAAGAATCTTTGCCTTTCTATTAATGACAAATCAAGTGGTATGTATGAACTGTGTAGGGTTAACAATTGTACTCAGATTCTAGGGAGGCTCAGTACGTCAAAGTTACAACAATCCTTCCTCTGATGGACTTTTACATCATTGATATGATTGTGAGCTCTGAGGCCTCAAAGGGCAGATACATACCCCACAACCATTCCGCAGCTTGGCACTGCCTGGAAACCCTATTAAGACCAATGTTCAGATTCAGTATAAGACAGTTTTGTACGTTCAACTTTACTATCGCCATAAAAGCAGTACTTTCCAAAGAAGATGATTTTCACATTCAGCAGCATGACACTAAGTGCTGAGCAAATCAAGTAATGTCTATGCATTTTGGATGGTTCAAAATGGCCCCCTTGATACTGGGGAGGTACCTTATGTCAAGGTTACAAAAAAAAAAATCCTGGCTCAGGAATTTTAACACAGCATGGCGACATCTAGTGGTGATAACTGCAATAACATTTCTGACAGTTGCTAAACACACATTATTAACCCACTGATATGATTTGCAATCACTTTGGCAATTACTGGAATAAATACTTATCCTAATTATAAAGTTGAAATGCTGTGTATTTTCTGTGATCTAAAACTGATTCAAAAGAAAAAAGAGAGGAGAAGAGAGGAGAGAAAGAGGGAGGGAAGGAGGCAGGTAGGCAGGAAGGCAGGTAGGCAGGATAATTTAGCCAGTGGGGGAGGGATAAATCTAAGATGAAGCTTTTGTAAATCTTGTTTGTGGGAAGCACCCTGTGAGTTCTCCAAGCAAATGTTCTATCAAATATTTGTGTATAAACAAGGCTAGAATCTGCTGGTGAGTGCAGAATTCTAAAGTGCTCAGGAACAACTTACTGGGACCAAGCTTTGATCAATAAACAGATGAACATTTATTGATAACTGAAGCCAAGTTTAGCTGCTGAGACAATGATAAAGCTATCAGAAGGAGATAATTCTTACATGGGCAGTCTGTAGCAGCTAAATAAAAAAGGAGTCAAGTGGCACTTTAGAGTCTAAACAGAATTTATTCTAGCAGAAGCTTTTGTAAGTCAGAGCTCACTTCATCAGATGTACGAAAAGGAGAAATACTTCCAGCATGTGGTTCTTAGCTAAAAGCAACTGCAGGGCCAAGTAACCAACCTCTGGCACAGGCAACAGTGGTGCATGGCACACCTGGACAGGCACACCTGGACAGAGCCAGAATCCAAATTATTGATTGGTTTT